GGGGGGTAACTCAGGGAGGAGGGAGAGCTTGCTAGGGGCCGTGGGAGGGCAGCTCAGGGTGGAGGTAGGGCATCACTTGGGGCTGTGTGCAGACAGGGTAGCTCAACTTGCATGGGGGGTGGCTAGGGGCTGTGTGAGGGAAGGGGGGTAGCTCAGGGTGCAGGAAGGTGGGTACTAGGGGCTGTGTGTGGGCAGGGGGGTAACTCAGGGTGCATGGAGGTGGGTACTAGGGGCTGTGTGCAGGCAGGGGGTAGCTCAGGGTGCAGGGAGGTGGGTACTAGGGGCTGTGTGTGGGCAGAAAGTAGCTCAGGGTGCAGGGAGGTGGGTACTAGGGGCTCTGTGCGGGCAGGGGATAGCTCAGGGTGCTGGGAGGTGGGTACTAGGGGCTGTGTGTGGGCAGGGGATAGCTCAGGGTGCATGGAGGTGGGTACTAGGGGCTGTGTGTGGGCAGGGGATAGCTCAGGGTGCAGGGAGGTGGGTACTAGGGGCTGTGTGCGGGCAGGGGATAGCTCAGGGTGCAGGGAGGTGGGTACTAGGGGCTGTGTGTGGGCAGGGGGTAGCTCAGGGTGCATGGAGGTGGGTACTAGGGGCTGTGTGTGGGCAGGGGGTAGCTCAGTGTGCATGGAAGTGGATACTAGGGGCCTTGTGTGGGCAGGGGTAGCTCAGGGTGCAGGGAGGGCATAGCTCAGGGTGTAGGGAGAGGGGTATTAGGGGCTGTGTGCTGAGAGGATTCCCCTGCAGTCCCTGTTCCCGGAGGGGTCTGCCAGCCATGGAGCTGGGTCTCCCCAACTGGGGGGGCTCTTACCGGCTGCCTCTACGGGAGCAAAGGTGTCTGGGAGCTGAGGAACAGCTTCGAGTGGAAGAAATGCTGCTGCTGTCTGTGCCATGCACCAGCCAGAACAGCAGCTGTCCCACACTCCCTGGCTCTGGCTTTGGCTTCCCACCTCCGACCCTGGCCAGGGGGCGGGGAAAGGAGGGGCAGGGGAGGTGTGGAGCTGTCCCTGGGAACTGCCGTGATCTTGCGCTGCAGTGGGGGGGCAATGCCCTCCATGTCCCTAATTCTGTCCATGCACTCAGGGCTTCTGCCCCACAGGGAGCATCGGGGCTCTGGGATTCAGCCCTGTGTCTCCCTGCTTCAGCCCCACAGGGAGGCGCCGGGAATCTGGGCTTCAGCCCCGCAGGGGGGCACCGGGGATCAGGGCTTCAGCCACGGGGCCCCGCAGCCCCCTTGAAAGGGCTCACGGGCCCCCTGGGGGCCACAGACCCCCGGTTGAGAACTGCTGCTATAGTGTATCTGATCTTCATTCTGGAACCCTCAGCCCGGTGGCCTCATTACCCTGGTGATACTGGGTGCTTAGCAACACTGCCATCATACTGGTGCATGGCGCCTGTTTTGCCAGTGGCTGCTCTGTTAAGGATTGTATGGAAACTCATCCCAAGTGACGTGTCATGCACCCTGCTGTGGGTCTGAAGGGAGCACATGCACATGGGCTGTCTTGATTAGGGCCAGCATAAGCTGGTGGTTGTCTTTGTAACTAGAGGGGATGGGCACTGAGGCTGGCTGTTTATTCCTCTGGTAATAGGGGAACTTCTGTCTGGCAGTAGTGCCAGAGCAGGATGACTTCTATATGTATCTCTAGTACACACTGGATGAATGACTGTGTGATGGAGATGGGAGGCTGGTGGTTCTCTCTGCTGGGTATATTTGTAGAGGGGGTGAACTCAGGCCAGTTGGTTATATCTGTGGGTTTGGGGACTGCTGGCAGTTGCCATGGGAGGGGCACATCCTGACCAACTGGTTGTTTCTTGGAAGGGTTTTGTGTTCTAATAGTCTGCAGCAATGCAGTTGCTAGAGGGCAGCAGAGCTCAGGTATTACATCAGCTTAGGTGCTGGATTTGTAGACAGCTCCAGGCCCAAATCAGCTTCTCTTCTTGTATCATGGGGTGCCTCCACCATTCCCCAATCCCTTGTCCCCTCAAGTTCTTACCACTCCCCTTGTGCACACACACTCCCCTTATCCCCCTCTGCTCCTACAATGGCAATCCGTGCACATCTGCTTGATGATGCGCTTGAACTCCTCTGCTTCAGTGAAACCTGCCTGCAGCTGGACCCATTCCTGCAACATCAGAAGATGGTTCCTGTGGTGCCCCCTCATTGAACAGCTCTGGGACAAGGAGGTGATGCTTGTCCTTAAAGGCTAAGTTCCCAGTTCCTCTGCTCTCCTCTGAGACATTCTCTCATCATCTCCTCCTCTGTACAGATGAGCTGTGTTTTCTTCCCAAAAGTCCCAGGGGGCTGGACACCACCCTAAGCACTGGCCTCCTGGAGCTGCCTCCCACTCCCATACCCCCAGGGATAAGGACACTGCCTCCCCTACCTCCTTCTCAGCCCAGTACAGCTCTGTGCCTCAGACTGACCACTTTCTCTTTCCAGTGCACTGAGTAATCCTGCCCCTCCCCACTGACTCCACCGCAGCTCCTATCCTGCCTGCCTACCCTGCTCAGTACTCCCAGATCAACTCAGATTTCCTTTTAAAGTGCCATTGTCCTGTGAAAAGCTGTAAAATGCCTTATGGGCCCCATGTTTGTGTCGCAGTGAGGTCCATATCACATTTGCTGTTTACGAATAAAAAGATGTTTTTTCTTCTCATTTCTTCTCAAAACTCACCCTGGGCTGAGAGAGTCAAGTGGGATGCTTTCCTTTTTGCACACCATCAGTAGAGAAGGCTCATCAGGACAGATTCTGTCCTCAGTGCCACCTGTGCTGCCCCATTCTAGCCATTTGATGTAACGGATTGGAACTTTAGCAGAATCCTTTACTATGATGCATTGGCTGGAAGAGAATCCAACTCATTCTCTCTCAGAGGGCCTAACAGGAGTAAAAAGCTGCAAAGACTTATTTCAGTCACAGACAGGGGTGCTGGAACAATTTTATAGTGGCAGTGCTGATGATGGAAACCATGTATTTGGTGCTTGTTATTACTGCTTCAAGACGGCAGTGTGGCAGCACCCCTAGTTCCAGCACCACTGGTCACAGAAGTTGGCAGCTCTGACTCCACTACCCCGATAGGAAGGGCCCAGCAAAATGAGAAGGGACCATCAGTACATAGTCACTTTACAGAATAAGGAAGGGTCTACATTAGGAAATTATCGGATCTTCCCAGAGTTCCTCAACTGGAGTTGATAACTGTTTGGGTTTAGTGTAGACAGGACCAAGCCTTTAAGCCCTCATTACTGAAAACATCTTACACTCATCTCTAGGCCCCTTCCTTGACAGTAATGTTTGCACTTGAAGCTGCCATTTTAGCCCTGATTGGCCAGGGTTAGGACAATGTATTGTCAACAACAGATAACTTTCACCATGTAAAAAAGGCTCTAACACTTTTGTGGGCGCAAGGAAGATCTTGAAAGAAAATGCCTCAGGCACCAAAGAGGCTGGGAAGGGACCTGTCTGTGGTTTTCCCCATCCTGCCGCTGCTAGGCTGGAATTGGATCTCACTCCACAGTGTGAGGATGGACTGGGCTGGCTCTCCCCATCCTGCTCTTTTCCTCTCCCTGGCAGGCTTGTGCCCCCACTCCACACTACCCCCTAACCGCTCTCTCTTTCTCTCTGCTCTTGGCAGCCTCTATCACATCACACTCTTGACCTTCCTCATAGCCCTGGCCCACTTCCTCTCTGAAGTGTTTGTTTACGGCACAGCAGCCCCGACGATTGGTGTCCTGGCGCCCCTGATGGTGGCAAGTAAGTACAGCTTACTCCATGATTCCCCTGAGAGCTAGGAGGCTGGGGTTGAGCTCAGATGAGGGGGTGGGGAGAGGTAAAGTTCCCTTCCTCTGGGCAGTGTTTCTGGCACCTACTTGCCTTCCATCTGTGTCTCAGGTTTCTCCATCCTGGGCATGTTGATTGGGCTGCAATACCTGGACGTGGATGCAGTGTCACGAAACAAGAAGAAAAACTGAAGCCAAGGGTCCCACGTATGTTAGAATCACCTGCCTGCTGCCTCCGCATCTTCCCTGCTAAACTCCTGCCATCTTACCTCCCTGGCCCCCTGCAGTCAGATCATAGTTTGACTTCTTGTTAATCATTCTTCATTAGCAATTGATTTCACCTGTACAGGCAGTGTTTTAATGGTGACCAGTGATAAAAGCCCAGCCCCAAGCCTTTGGGGGCTGTCCCACTGTAGGCATTGCCTGAGACAGCCTCAGCTCCTAGGCTGGCAAGGGGACCACTTCCCAGCACTGTTCTCCCCCTGCTGCAGGGCACCTGCAGGGAGGAGGAGTAGAGCCACCCATGATCTGCTGGAGATCTGTGGAGCAGGAGACACCAAGTCCAGCCCCTGGTGCCGCTGTGTTTTGTATGTGTCTATGTTCATGGGGCAGTTTGTAATAAACAATAGAAAACTGTGGAGGGTGCAGAGTGTTGCCTTCTACTAGAGAGAGGAAGGGAGACCCAGCCTGAGTGACAAGGAGCAGCCACCTTTAGCCCACCTCACCCTGGAGGGTAAGTCAGCCCTCCTATCCAGCCAAGGCCTCCTTCCAATCTCCTGCTCCACAGCCTGATTGCTCACACTGTATGGACGTGAAGTGCAGTGGCAATCTATTGCTGCTTCCTCCCCTTTCCCTAGCTTATGAGGGACAATGAAGTGAACCCACCTGTTCCTTTACTTCCTCCAATGTGGCTGTGATCCAGCTCCCAGCAGAGACTTTGTGCATAATGTGCTGCTTGTGAAAGCAGAGAGGGTCTGGGCCAGGCCTAAGATGGGGAAAGCAGGTGGTGGGAGTTAGCAGGGCTGGGGGGGACTGTGCAGAAGAGGGAGTGAGGATATTAGAGGACGTGGGGGAGAATAGACACTAGTAAACAGACAATTGCTTCTGCTCTCTGGGCCAGGAGCCCCTGCCCTATTCAGTGTAACCACCACAGCAGTTCCAGTGAGAGGGGATTGTGTAGGGAGATGTGTTAACCACATAATGCCCATTGTGTACTCTGGGACTGGCCCTGTCCCTCTGCATTTCCATTAGTGGGCTCACACAGCTGCATGGTATGTGCCATCTTTACAGCTCTGCCAATGGTAGGCTCCCTGTGGGTAGATTACTTATGGACAACTGTCAGACAGCTGCACCAATACAGCTATTAAATACAAATTATATTTAAAAATACAAGGAATCCAGTGAATATTTTCCCAAGGCCTTTTGAGATCACACAGGCCTGAGCCACTCCCACAATCCCCAAAATTGTATTATAATAAATCAGGGTAACCAGTGGCGGAAGGCCACTTAAAGACAGCGGGAAGACAATACTGGTCCAGGGGCACACTCTGCATTATCAAGCATCAGTCTAATGGCTCCAAAACTAAAGCCTGCACAGCACTTACTAGTGGTCCTTAGAGATGACAGGTCATGTGCTGACAGCTCTCCTTGTGTCCAGGCTCTTTATTGAACAGAGGCACCTGGAGGCCTGCAGAAGTAGATGGACATGAGGAGGTGCCAGCCTAATTGCTGCTTCTAGAGGCCACAGCTACTGAGGAGAGGAAACAGGAACTGCTTCCACCAAGCCAGGGGCCTGAGCTGCCAGTCACCAGCAAGATAGGATGCCCAAAAATATATTGAGGGGAGCAGGGGACCCGGAGGACTAGGTGGCTGGGAAACGTGGAGCTGGGGGGGAAGTGGTAGAGGAACAAAACAGATGGGAGGGGAAATAAAATGGAGAGCAAAGGCAGCAAGCATGATTAACTTTTTCAGGACATTTCAAAATACTTATCACTGTTTTCCTAATCTTTTCCATGTGACTGACTGCTGGAATTGCTAGGTGGCTCTCACCCAATGAGGAGAGGGGGGCATTGATAATAAAAGGGAGGCAAACTACATGATTGCAGCTGGGAAGAGAGATGAGGTCAGTGCTCATGAGTGGAGGAGCAGGCAACAGCAAATGGTGGGGCTGATGATGAGTGGGAGGGGAGTACCCACAAGATACTCAGGTGATGTGAAAAGCAACAGAAGGTCCTGTGGCACCTTTGAGACTAACAGAAGTATTGGGAGCATAAGCTTTCGTGGGTAAGAACCTCACTTCTTCAGATTCAGGTGATGTGGTTCCTTGTTATGAAAAAAAAGTTTGGGATGCCCTGTGCTAGAGCAACCTTAGCCTGCCTCCCACAGCTAGTTGGGTGAGAAGAGGGGAAGTGGGAGCACAACTCCTCCTGTCTGTACCAGCAGAGGGCTCCCATAAAATGTGTATTATTTTTATAGCACCAACCTTGTGCTTGTGTAAAGTGCTTTCCAGCCAAGGAAGGGGACGTGGTCCCTGGCCAAAGGAGGTCACAGTCTAACTCAGTAGTGTTGTCACAGTAGCCCTGAAGGCTGGTGTCAAGTATAAAGTGGGCTAGACCCTGGTGCACTTTGAACACATGCCCCAGCGCCAGGCCTTGTGACTGACAGTTGGGCTCTGCCCAGGGCACATATTGGTATTTCCCCAGTCCTCTTACAAATTTTTACTCTACAAAATTTCAAAAACCATCAGGGAAGTTTGATTAAAATAGAAAATCACATTAGTCCACAGATGAAAAATCTGCTGGGCTAGGAGGTCCCTGTACAAAAATGGGAACCGGCCACAGTTGTCATGCACTTTGCAGAGCCTGGGGAAGCGTGGGGGCCTGAGCCATCACCCCCACACTATGGCCAGGTGAACCACCTGCTCCAGTCACTATGAATACAGGACAGACCCATCACTTCCAGAGCAAGGGTCACAACTCAGAGCAGGTCACAAAGCAAGTGCTGTCTAGTTCTCTCTCCACCAAGAGGTTCCTTCAGAGGATGCACTTGGCCACCCATCATACACTTCTCTGGAAGGGGAGATGAGGGCCACTTGAGGAATGCCACTGTGGGCTCCAAATACTGAGTGCTGCATTGGACTCACAGCCCCTGCTCCTCTGAGCCCCAAGCAGACAGATTTGGGGCTTGTGGCTCCATGAAGCTTTCCTGCCGAGCAATAGGTTCTCCCACAGCAGGACACAGAGGTGAAAGCAGACTGATGAGAGAAACCCTGGCTGATCTGTTCCTTCCGATGGCTCCATGAGCAGCTTTCTGGACTCCAGCCCTGATGCTGCCCCCAATGCCATGCTGTGTGGGTACCAGAAGGATACTGCAAGTGACAAAGATGGGAAGGGGGGGTGTGGTAGGCAGTCTCTCCCAGCTCTGCCACCCCACCCCTTCACAGCTTTGATTCATCAAGGACCACAGGAGCAAGGCTGTCCCCAGGCACCTCTTCCAGCGCTTTCTGCAAAATCAGAGAAAAGGGGCATGGTTAGAGCACCAAGTGGCTAGGGCTGGGCTTCAGTGCAGGCCTTGGAGCCCAAAGGCTGGGATACTCCTGAGATCCTCAACAAATCATGCATGAGGATCAGACATCTCCTGCAGAGGAAAGGAGAGGCCCCAAGGAATAATAGCTAAGACCATCCTCTTTAGAGCTCAGCTAAGATTGCACCAGCTCCTTCACCCCAGACAGCTCCACTGCTCAGGTGAGGGGTGTTGGAACAGGCAGAGCAGGGGCCCCTTTCCTCTTGGGCAGCCCCCTGGGCTATTGTAAATACATAGTCATGGCAGCATTATGGAGCTGGGCCTTGCCCCACACAGCCAGCTCAGCTAGAGAAAGGACTCCGCCTCCACTGCAATTGGAGCTTCCAAGTGGAGAAGTGCAGAGCAGGACTTGGGGGAAAGGGAGGCAAAATGCGCCGTGTGGTGGGGAGAACCACTAATGAAGCGGCATACGGTGCAGCCCGGTGTATTTAAACAGGACAGGAACTTCAGCACTGGTGCTATGGTCTCCCCCTGGCCAACTCAAAGCTGAGTGCTGACACTGCTCGCCCTCTCCCCACCCTACCCCCATTCAGGCCTCAGGGCTGGCACCTCCAGCCTGTCTTCAAGGCTCAGCGCTTAAATACTATATTGATTCACCAGAAGAAAGAAAACAACTATATTAAGCCTTTTAGAAGAAAAATTTAGGCTGCTTAATTAGAAAAGCTCCCCGGCCATGAGATGGAAGGGGTGCTGGGGACAAACCACCCAACTAGTTTTAAAATAGAGCTTTATAAATTTATGAATGGGATTGTATGACAGGGTTGCCAGCCTGCAATAGCAGGGGACTGGACTTGACCCAGGAGGTCCTTTCCAGTCTTATGTTCCTATTTCCCTAGGGAATGACTGGGAGAGCCAGAACTCAGCCCTTATAAGACAACCCCACACAGGCCTAAAGGAAAATCCTGCCCCCCGCCCAGCAGCAGTCTTCCTATGCCACCCTGACCCTTCAGGATTGCTGTAACAGAATGGTAAGCACCTCTCCTTACTGCTGTGGCCCTTGCTGCTGCCTGTGCTCCTGGTGTCAGCCCTTCAGTTACAACAAGAACTTAACCACCATCGTCACATAAGGCCACTCACTGAATTTTACTGGCTGGGAGTGGAGCCTTCAATGGGCCTGCGCTCTGGACAGAGAACAGAGCCCAAGAGAAGGGACCCTGTTCAACAGACTGGCATTCAGCACTATGCATAGTCCCTGGAACAAAGCTTCCTGCTGTAGAGCTGACCCTGCTTCAGAGGGGCTACTGCTAACCTAGGCCTGGCTTGCAGGGTAAAGTGCTGCATGGAGACACTGCTGCGTCATCCTACCCAAGTACACTGGACACTTCAACATCCCACAAGCGCTGGACAGGACTTTAGCCTGGAGAGCCCTCCTGGGCCTGTCTGAAAGGAGGTCTCTTCTTTCATTGTTTGTCTGGAGGGCTCAGGGGAAGAGAGACAGGCAGGTACTGTAGGCTGCTGCCCTTTAGAGCGGCATATGGGTCTGGGCCCTCCCTTCTCTCCCCAAATAGGTGTGTTTGCTAGGCCAGCATATTAGACTTAGAGGCAAAAGTGGAACCCAGCTTCTCCCCATTCAGGAGTCAGAAAGGCAGCTGCCCCAGGAGCCCTTTACCACAGCCCTGCTAGTAAGAGATCCCAAGATGTTCCACTGAGAGCTACCCCAGGATTTCCTTCTAGGCACCCCCCTCTGCACCATTTAAGGCAGGCTCTACACGGCTCACTGAAGCAGAAACAAACCAAAGAGACCTTGGTGGCCTCAGGACACAGCAGGTACAGGCAGAGTGTGGTAGCGCTAAGCAGTTATCTTCCTGTGGAGTGAGACAAGTCCAAGCCAGGAGCCATGGTCAGAAACACACAGGAAAGAGGTTTGCATCTCCCCTCAGTTCAAGAGAAAACCAGGCAGCTTAGAAGCAAGGGATACAAACATAGCTTTATTTTGTGTAGTATTTTTCATACAAACTGCAGCCCAGAAGGTTTTACAGAGTTAAATAATAATAGCTCAAGGGGAGGAGAGAGATCAGGAGAGCTTCAGAAAGGCAGAGGGATGGAAGGATGCTTTTCTAGACAGCAGGAGCTGCAGACGGGAAAGCTCTCACACCAGCAGTGAGAAGAGTGTTGGCAGGGAGAGAAGAGGCCAAAGTCAGATATGCGGGGAGTTCAGCAGAGTCGAGCTCTGGGAGCTTGGCCAGGGAGGCCTTTGGTGATTTTGAACTGGGGCTTTAAATGAACAGGGAGCCAGTAGAGTCTGAAACCAAACCCATCACAGCTTCCCCACTTACCTTTCACCTCTTCTTGAGCTATAGGAACAAAGGGTTAGTAAACCTGCAAACACACATGGCTACACAATCTTGGGAAAGGGAAAAGGCAACGCACACAAGCAGGCACATGCAGTGGGGATAGATGGAGACACCACCACTGGGAATGAGGTGTGGAAACTGCCTGCGCAGATTTGGGGCAGGGGACGCTGGCTATTTGCCACATTGCTAACATGAAAGGTCAGCAGAGCGAAGAGGCATGTGATCTCGAGGGAGTGGCAGAAGGGAGAGAATGTGTTTAGGAATATTCTTCCCATGCCCTGTCCATGCCCATCCAGTAAAATTCAAGGAGCTTTGCTAGCTGCAAGATTTCACTAGAGCCAGATAGTTAGCTGAAGTTGTGAGGCCCTGGTGAGCCAGGGAGATGATGGAATCCAAGCTTTCCATTAAGCAAGTATCTCAACCCTGAGTCAGGACACCTCACCAGAGCTAAGAGGATTTTGGCTAGACCTCAGCACACTGTCAAAAATACCTTCACACCCAGACACATGCGTGCACAATAAAACACAAAGTTGTCGCCAACAAGCAGCCAAAACAAGGTTCTATCATGCAGTGTAAATGGGACCTTAACAGGGTTCCAGTGCCATTGAGGACACAATGAAGGTGTCATCTCACTGCAAGATAGAACCATGTTTCAACCAAGCCTGCCAACATGGCTATATCAGGAAAGCAGGACCTTTAAACACCCTAACTCAGGAAATACAGTTGTTTCCTCGCAGCAATGCTGACTCACCTGTATTACACATGTAGCATTTTCAAGTACAACAGGACCACGTTCCATGGTGAAAAAAAAAAACTAGCATTATGGTTGAGAAAGAATTGTGGCTGAAAGCTGAAGCATCCTTGTGCTCATACTTAAAAATATGGTCTATTGATATCAACTATTTGTCATACAACAGAAGAAATTGAAATTTTTTTACAAAACCTGCTGTAGAGTAAATTTCAATGCACTCCACATAGTCTTTAGATTTGGCATGAATTGTAAGTTTCAAGGAGATATACAAAACAAGCCAAGTTTGAACGAAATCAGTTCTACTATTTTGGAATCATGCATCTTCAAAATTCTAGGTAGGCATTTTTGTTTGATGAAAAAAATTCTTAACATACTTCTGAACAGATGTTGCTTAAAAACTCTGTTGAAAATTTCATTGCTGAGCCGAGACCCAGCATGGAAATTTTTACCCATAAAAGGCATTTGTTTCAGAAAGCAACAAATCAGAGTGCAAGCAAACTATAAAAGAAGGGTTAGAATGGATGCTGGAAGCCAGCCTCAGCTATACACTGGAGTGCTACCTGCACCCACTATAATATGGCATGGGTAATATTAGGTAGTTGACACTGCTATGGTACCCTAACGCAAGATGATTGTGATGTGCTTGTAATGAAAGCAAGTCACAAATAGAGATCTGGACATCTGCACATAGCATTTAAAGAGAAGGGGATATTTGGTCCAAATGTCTCAAGAGCAGTGGAATACAGAAAGCTAAACAAACAGCTAACTTCAGATGTGAATTGATGCTGGATGGGATAGCAGTGAAAGGACTAACAGTATGGCATAGTTATTCTGGAGGGTGAAGCATTCACACTGCCAATCAATTTAACTCCCACTGAAAAAGAGCTTCCAGTTGCAAAGCCATTCCATATAAGTGGCGAGGTGCATTGATAGAAGATGATTTGTGTGTGGCCACAAGGCAGTTCTTGCTGGAATAAGCAAAGACACACTGTACAGCTCTTGGATAGACCACTGCTAGGAGTGTGGTTCGGCTCTGAAAAGCAACTATGTACAGATGGCCCCTTCTCACTCCACAGAGCCCCTCCTCTGTGGGTAGCAGAGTCAGAGATGATTATTTCAACTGCAAAAAACAACACCCCCACACCCACACACGTTAGGATATAGATATTCAGGCCTGTCTGCAAAGCCTATACTTTAAGAATTTAGATGTATTCTTATCACTTAGCTAGTTATAGGGGTATAAAAGAAAATCAAAATCACTGTCTGTCTGTGTAAGGGCCTTCTCTTACTGTGACAGTCTGAGGCTCTGTTTAGTCATACTGAAATAAGGCAATCTGGGGCTGTTAGGAAGGTGATCTGATCTATCACCTCCAGAGACAGGGAAAAGCCTAGAAGATGTAAAAGAAAATTTAGTTTGATAGTTTTCTGTCTGGTAAGAACTCACTTATCAATAGACACAGCTGGGAAACCCTTATGTCTTTATAGACGTAGTTGTGAAATCCTCACTTCTGTATTGTTTTGTATGTTTATATGCATGGTCTCTGTCTGGTTCTGTGATTAATTATACAGCAGACAGAAACAATTTTGCTGGGTGTAAACTAATTAAGGTGGTGGGATATAATTGGTTAGCTAATCATGTTACAATATGTTAGGATTGGTTAGGTAAATTTCAGTAAAATAATTGGTTAAGGTATAGCTAATCAGAACTCAAGTTTTACTATATAGTCAGCAGTCAATCAGGAAGTAAGGGGGGAATGGGAACAGGGAATTGGAATCATGTTTTGCTAAGGGGGGGGGGGGGGAAGGGGAACAGGCAAGACTCGGTGGTGTCAGGGCGGGGAAGGGGGACACTGAGGAAGGAAACTGGAATCCTGCTTGCTGGAAGTTCACCCCAATAAACATCAAATTGTTTGCACCTTTGGACTTTGGGTATTGTTGCTCTTTGTTCATGCGAGAAGGACCAGGGAATTGAGAGGGTGAAGGAATAAGCCCCCCCCCACACACACACACACTTTATGTTCCTATGACCACTGCGGAGCCAAGAGAGCTATCTCAGAGGAGCTGGCTTCTAGTCCTCTTTCTTCAATAGAATCCTTTACTCCATTGAAATTAATCGATCTCCTCCTTCCATAAAAAGGAGCCGTCTGGCCTTTGCTCTAGATACTCACTGGCACATTTTAAAAATAGACCACTCCAGCAACCCCTCTTTGCCCCACAATTAACATGCAGCCACCCACCAGCTGGAAACACAGACAACATCTTTCCATTTCCCACCGGAGTACACCCAGGCCCAGCGCCGCCCAGAGAGGAAAAACAAATGGAGCTCTGCTGGGTCAATACATGAGGTCTATCCCAGATGTGGGGGAGTGAGCCCCAAAGGTGAGCAACCCTCACCAAAAACACTCTGCCAGCTTCCCACTCTCTCACAGAGGAGGCCAATCTGTTAACCTGTGCAAACCTGTAGGTCACAGTGGGGTTACACAGGGATCAGGGAGGGCAGCATTGGGCCTGCAGCACCTTTCTTTAGGGATGTCATGTGAAAAAGAAAGAGCCCAAATGCAGTTTGCTGAACTGGCAGTTAGAAAAAAAACATTTTAGTTGCAAAGTGAGCCCGTTTGGTACAGGCCTCACACAGACATGACAACCTTGAACCCTCCACCAGGCCACCTGGCAGAGTGGAGCCACAGTTTAACTTATGCATTTCCTGACATGCACATTCATAAGTGTGACTGTAATCTGGGGCCAATACAGCAGCTCACACTTTATTTAACCATTGAATAATTGTTGCTTGCTCCAATTCTGTAGCCCATCTGAAGTAACCAGGTTCTTAAGCATCATCCCCCCAACCTCCCTCCCCCATGCCATTCATTCACCCTCTTCTAGTCTAGGCTGCCAAGCTGCAGATACAAGTCTGCAAGCCCTCTACGCCCAAATTCAATTTAAAATCCCAGCCACAGACCTTACTGCAAACTTCCCAAATACATGAGATCAAGGCTTCAAATGAAAATAGTCCCATGAGGGGTTTGTACACCCACCTCCAGCCTCTTTTTTGGAACTGTCCCAGAAGACAGACCCCACCACCAGGCAGGAGAACCAGGCTTTGTACTGCTCTGGGCATCAGAGCTTTAGGAACATTGGCGCTTCCCACCTTGCAACACGATTTTCTTAGACTTGGCCCTGTGCAGCAGAGGTGCAGAGTGCCCAGTGCTGCATAGGACAGGGAATATGTGGGGAACCCCTATCCTGCATTGATGAGATACTGCTGCACAGCTGCAAGGTTACTGGTACCTAGTGTCAGGAATGAGGCCTATGATGGGAGTGTGCAGCTCAGCACTCCATTAGCACGAAGAGGATGTACTTAACCCAGATCTCCTTAGACTCACCAGTGTTTTACCCCACCCCTTTTCTATCCTGTGCTCTTGCAGGGAAGGGACCAGGCATGCAGGGGACTTGAGTCTCACAAGCACTCAGGCTGAAATAGGGTGACCAGATAGCAAGGGTGAAAAATCAGGACAAAGGGTGAGGGTAATAGGCACCTATACAAGACAAAGCCTCAAATATTGGGACTGTCCCTATAAAATTGGGACATCTAGTCACCCTGGGCTGACGGCTTACCTTCACCTGCACCCACCTATGGTCTCTGCCTACACTTGCACTGGAGCACAACCACCTGATGCTCCCTGCTGCACACCATGCAACAGCTCAATGTTGCCAATATACTATCTCAGGCCTGAACAATGGTCCTTACCAGCTCGGTTTGTTTGCTGCACACCACTGAGCAAATACATGCACAAAACACCTTCAGACATCATGAGCAGGACAGATAATGTTTTGGGGAGGGCAGCCAGGCACAGCAGAGGGTTCAAACAGCATGAGAGCAGCAAAGCATTAAACATCCCTAGGCAGCAGCTGAGAAGCCACTTCTAGCAAAGGGCTGGAATTACAGAGAAAAAAGCAGAGAGCTTTATGATTTACAGTTACTCTTCTAACAAAAGGCACCAAGCCAATGGCTCCATTATTGCCAAACTCTTTAATACTTCATTTGATTGGCATCATCTCGCTACATTGTCAGGACCAGCTCTCTGACCCAATCCCAGACAGCACCTCCTGCAGGGGAGGCTAGACAGTGACTTTAAATAACTACTTAGCCAAGAGGCTGTACACTATTCCTCTCCCCGGCACATTTACTCACAGTAGAGTGTGCTATTTGCTCTGACAAGACTAGAGTTTTGCCTTGGAACACCCACCCCACCAGTCCCTAAGCTCCAGTTACCCAAGCAGCCTCAGCTTCAGTCTTCATTCTTCTCAGGACCCCACAAGCTCAAGCCCCATCTCTTCTCTCCTCCTCCCCACCCTGTCTCTGTACCCCAATCACTCCAGCTGTTGCACTGCCTTCGGGAGCAGCATCAGTTAGTGCCATTGGTTTGGTGTCAGTGCCATTCCTGTGAGCAATTAGATAAGCAGATTAGTGTGATTCTCCTACCTTTGTGTGAGAGCTACTGAGCGGGGATGGGAAGTGATGGGGTTAAGGCTACAAGCTACATTCCATAATCCGTGATGTGACTGCTGTCCTGGAGTCTCTGTAACAACAGCCACAGGTCATGATCCCAGAAAAGGGGACACGAGCAAGAGAGAGAGAGAGAGAGACAGAAAAGTCATCCATTCCTGGAGAAGGAGGAAACCAATGAAACACCCAGTTGCCTGGAGAGCAAGTGGGGTACTTGGCAAAGCTCCTGAAAATACTACAGAATCTTCTGTTGGAAAATCTTTAGCTCAAAGCTCCCCAGGAGGCAATAAATGTGAGCAACATTTCAGCCTCCCCTCTTCTGATGGATGCGTCCATTTTAACCCATCAAGTGTGAGTTAGACAGATCAAAATCTGCTCAAGTGGGGACTTAAAGTATTTGCATATTTGACCAGACTCCCATTTAGTCCATTTATTTTACTGAGAGACCAGCTAGCCCAGGCTATACAACCAACAGGAGGAAGTTTATGGACTGGGAGTTATTAAATCTGTGCATAAAACTTCTCTTTGTTATGACACTGTATGTTATAGACCCAGCCTCTTATTCCTGCCCTGCTCCACTTGCTTGCTTGGGAAATACCTGGGTCACAAAGTTCATGCAAAGAAGCCAGACGGAGGTCAGAGCTGTAGGAGAGTCTCTCGGAGGCCTCCAATGAGAGCAGCTCCTGGACGGTTTTGATATTTACCCTGAATTATTCCATGTTTGAAGACCCTTCACCACCAGCATATCCCTCCAGTTCTTAATGGGTTTAGTTCCTGGGTCTGCCTGACAGTTCCACAGGAGGGGAGGATGAGTCCTATTGAAATAGCAGCTATGCCTCCTTCTCTTTGTTTTAACACCTCCAAAATGAGGGCCCACAATTTTATTTTAGATTTTCACAAAATGTTCCATTAGTTTATCTGACCTGAGCACAGGCCCGCAATTCATTTGGAAAGAGACCTTGTGGCTAATAAAAGAAAGGGGCCTTATCAGTAGTCTTTACATCTGCTGCCTAAAAGATTGGATATTTCAGGCTCTTGCCACAGCTTCTTTTTGAGCAAGAGGCAGCAGCACTAGCACCTTTCACTGCAGCCCAGTTGCATTATGGACTTACAGATGAAATTTGGCACAAGATTAATACATCTTTGGCACTAGAGCTGGAAGATCCATTTCCTTGGAGACCTGGTCTCTGCTAATCCAGCATTCCCTCCTCAGTGACCAAGGGAGGTTTAGAAAGCCATGGGGCAGGAGCAATTCAGACAATTTTGTATCTGTAGCGACCAGCTGTATTCTACAACCAAGCTAAACAGTGCTAGTGATTTTCCAGGCTTTCCTGTGTGCATTACTATGCTGGGGAGCTCAATGCTTCACAGTCCCTTAATCCATGCTGTTTGCCACATTGGGGCTCATCTCCCCAGGAAGCTTATTGGATTCAACAAACGGGGGAGGTTACCTGCTATGGTACAGGTTAAACAAGGGGCCCCTAGGTGAATACACTGGAGGGCCCCACATGGGATGGATTTGGTGGCCGTTTTTTACCCCTGCTCCGGGATTACATTTGGAGGGCTGCATGGGGATCAACTCTCCTTGCATATTTTGTCCAGTATGTTTTATGCTTGTGCCAAGCTATTTCTATAAAAGATATTTTATTTAAAATACACCTTCCTGGGCTGACGGTTGGAGCAGGGTGGCCACGAGGTCTCTTGGAGCCGCTGGTCTCTCCAGATCGGCGCTGTTAGAGATTATCTGGTGGAAGGCGGCACTGTCTTCCAAAAAGGTAAAATTCGATACAGCAGGGAGTTTATCTTATGCATTTTGCCAGCCTTGGACACTGACTGCTTCAGGAGCGCTGGGTGGACGTCTCTGCTTACGTCCTGGAAGAGGAGCCCAGAGCCAGTAAGGACAACAACCAACCCCTCTAAGGGGGAAACATTGAGATTATCCAACAGTGGTTAATTCACCAAAGGCCTCTTCTCTTACACATGGAGCTGCATTAACTGTACAGAGCATGGGAGCACTGTGCCCAGCATTTAGGAGCATAGACAGGAGCTTTGCAGCCGCATCTAGTGGGCCGAGCAAAGGGCTGGGAGCCAGGATGACCAGAGTTTGATTCTAGCTATGCCACTGATCCCTGCTGCAGCCTGGGACAAGACACCATCTTTCTGTGACTCACTTTCCTCAACTGCAAAATGGGGCTACAAGCAATTACCCACCTTTTCAGGGGGCTGTGAGGATGTTTGCACAATGCTCTAAACATGGACCTATCTATGGCAATGCTAAGTTTTAACTCCCTCTCGGCAGAAGCAGCGAGGGTTGTGCATCTCTCTTCCCCCACCTCCCTCATCTATCCCTAGCCATTAATGTAAAAAACAGGACACGTACCTACCTCTGCAGGCTCCCTGGGGGCCAATGTTCAGTGACACCCAATGAGAGCAGCTCAGAGTATCCACAAACCCCCATACCTGGCAGGGCTGAGATCACAGCCATGGGGCTGCAAATTCCAGCAAGGAACTTCCCCTGGCCAGGTCGACAACCAATCATGGGGACAACCGAAGAGAGTCATGGTTATTATGGTAATGACCCAGAGACAGAGATTCCAACAGGTGGGGAGAGGACAGAGCAGGGGTCACCCTAAGCTAATAGTAGGGACAGAGCCAGAGGTCAAAGGGGATTTACTCACTGTCTGTTCACCGTCCATATTGGCCCGCTGTCTCCGGAGATCGGCCTTAATGAACACTGAGAGGTAGAGGGAAGAGGAGAGCCATAAGGACACAACAGAGCACACAAGCAAGTCTCACAGAACTCAGGGGTTACACAGGGGCAGCAAAGGGTTCAAGGAGACACTGGGGGGCCAGCAGGGGATCCACCGTTCTGAATGAGGAAGATAGAACTTCTACAGCAGTCAGGCAGCAGAGGGAGGTCCTGGCCCAGCCATGTGGGGGCCTCATCTGGCTGAGTCCCCAGCCAGGAGCATGGATAGGGGACAGCATTGGGAAAGCTCACACCACTGGAACCTTCAGCCAGTGACGCAGACCAGCTGCCACAACAAGTCAGGGTGCTGCTGTTCTGGAGCTTGCTCAGCTGGAGCAGCCCTGCAGGCACTGCAGTGGGGGAGCTGCCTTCACTCCACATGCCGAGTCCCATGGGTCACAGTCAGGTGGGGAATCTCTGGGGGAGCTGGTTTACCAGTTATGAAAGTCCCCAGGAGTAGGAAGGAGCAAAGAAAGAGGTTTCCCGCCTGCGTCCCAAAGCGATCGATGATCTTCCCTTGGGCAATGGTGAAAATGATCCCGAAAACCTTTAACACAAAAGTAAGGAATGGAATGGAGCTACTGTACTGTCCTTGCCTGGCCACCATCCCTCAGCCTCTCCTCCCCCCCACCCTTTGCCCCCGATTCACCAGGGAAAGGCAGCTTACTAAACAGCTTGCCAGGTCTAATAAGGACTTAGAACCCCCGCAGACTTGCAGCCGTTCATCCATTCAGCTGAAACTGGGTTAGAAACAAGGGCTGAATTTGGATGATGTGCCGCCTTCTGGCTAGGGGGAGGACAATAGAGCCTGCTGGCTGGAATCCCCTGTCACCCAAGGAGAGGGGGATCCTAGACTGCTGGGAGTGACAGTGCAGAGGGGCAAGGAGCTCCAGCATCCTGAAGGACTTTCTGGGGCAAGGGAGGGGGAGGAGGCCACTGAAGTTGAAGATTAAATTCCAGTTTTGACAGCAATAAAACAAGAAAGCAAAGGCCTGGGGCTGAAGCATGGCCTCTCTCTGGAGCATCAGACGATCTCTGTGACAGAGCAGGATACTGCACTGGATTGACCAATGGTATGAACTGTATCCCTGTGGAACAGGAATCCTCCTGGGCCTAGCAGGGCATTCTAGCAGTGCTGGGCGAGGTGGGGGGAGAACATACCTGTGCCGATACATTAAGGAGGCCTGAAGACGTTCCTTCTGACTCTGGGTACGTTAACTCTGCCGCAAACTCAAAACCCAGCGGTAGGTACCCGGTCATGAAGAATCTGCACAGCAGTACACAGAAAAGGAAAAAGTCAGCAGCTGGTGGAGGGAGAAGTGGGGAAAGGACTATGTGGCTCTGATCCCTGTTTCCTCCTAACTCAGTGACTGCACAAGACTGGTCCCCCAACAACATCCCGTCCTTCCAGCCACCTGACTCACTGACCACACGGCCATGGTCGGGACTCTAGTCCCAACCCACAAATGTTTGTGCCTGCAGCCGTGGTGCAGAGGGCCAGGCCTGCAGGGGCAGGGAGAAGAGAGGCATGGGGGGGAGGGAGCCACCTATTGCTGCCAGGAAGCGGGGTCAGCCAGTGGCATCGGAGTCAGAATGTTAATGCTAGTTTGGAAAGTAAAAGCCTGGAAGTGATTTAGATGGGATGCTGCCTGGCCGAGGGCTATTTTAGAAACCCAGCTGTCACCATGGTTCTCAATCCTTCTCTCCAATGTCTGGAAGGAGCCTGGCAGAGTGTTCAGAGCCAGCTGGGACAGGGAGGAGTAGTAGGGGCTGCTACACCCGTCCCGTCCCTCAGCTCTCCCAGTCAGAGGATCCAGGAGAGAGTTGGGGAGAATACAACACCTTATCCTCCTCCCAGGAAAGAGCTATATAGAGCCTGCCCCACCCTGGCCCCTGCTGCTTCTGGGCTGTGACACCTCTGCCTTCCCTTCTATGCCACTGCAGGGGCCAGAGGGAAGGAGTGTTTCCAGATTAATGAGGGAGGCAGCAGAAAGCCTGGGCTAAATTGGGCAGTCTCTATGCCTTCCTAGGGTTGGCTCCCACTCAAGAGGGAGAATAAGTCCTGTGGAAAGCAGACTGCATGTGAACTTACCCCAGCACGCCTGCAGTCACAAAGACCACCCAGAGGTGGCCTAGGCTCAGGGTGAAGGTATAGGCTACCAAGCCCCCCAGAGACATGATGTAAACCACCAGCGTCGTCTTCCTGCAAGACAAGGCACAGTCAGGAACAGGCCTTTTAGCTTTCATTCAACACTCTTCTCTAGCCCTTCCCATCCAAGGATCTCAATGCACTTTACACATGCTAGCAAGGGAAGCGTCAAAACCCACCATCTCTCTGGGAGGAAGAGGAACAACAGCATCCCTGTCTCATCAACAGGGAAAACTGAGCCAACTGAGAGGAAAGGGACTCAGCCCAAGGTCACTCAGTAGGTCAGTGGCAGAACCAAGAACGGAACCCAGGAGTCCTGACTCCCCTGTATCCCAATGGTGCAAGACCAAATGGAGGATTCTCTTGTTTGGGAAGAACATCACTTCTGTAGCGAAGGAAATTGAGGCAACCTGGAAGACAAGGGATAAGCCTAGGTTCTACCAGCCTATACACAGAGATCACTTCCCCCACCTAGCAGCTGCTTAGCAGCACAGAGCAGCACAGCACAATCGTTAGGATAGGGAGTGAAGATGAACTCTGTATCCAAACTGAAACTGATGGAAGTAAAACAATTATCAGGGTTAATTAAAAAAAACCCTTGGATTTACAAAACAAACATTTAAAAAACTCTATTTTTATTTTAAATCAGATTTTTTATTCACATGTTGCTAGTTCTTTACCTTCTTCCCATTTTATAGCTTAAAATTGCTACAGTAGATGCTCTGTACTTGCTTCTATAGTATCCTCATTGTTAGTTCTCATTTTGCATAGAGATTTTTTTCTAATAAAAAGCTTCACATTTAAAATGCTAATCTTTGCTGAAAAACCAGGCCCAGGGCCTCATCAAAACCCTTACTGTAAGAACACCTCATGCTCAAACACAAAACTGATAAGCAAATCACCTTTACTATATTTGCAACCAACACCCACATTCTGATATACTGAACTGCCACAAGTCAAGAAAGGAGAAATGCTTGGACTAGGCTATACTCCATTGGGGTTTGAACACTTTGAAGTCAGTGGGACTTATGCTCCTACCTCACTTAAGTGCCTAAATACAGGCTATGGAACTTTAGGCTCCTAGTTTTGAAAGTTTTGGCTGGTATGTATAAAAAAGTTCACAATATCTTTGTTTAATGTGCAGAAAACAATGAAAAGTTATTTAGTCTAACACCGAAGCAATTTTGTTTTGAAGTGACAAAGATTTTATGTCCCAAAGAGATTTTTTTTAATTAAAATTACAATTTTAGCTCCTTGTGCTCCAAACACTTATCAGAGGGGTAGCCGTGTTAGTCTGAATCTGTAAAAAGCAACAGAGGGTCCTGTGGCACCTTTAAGACTAACAGAAGTATTGGGAGCATAACTAACAAACACTTATGTGCATGTTTAACTGTAAGCACTAACCATTATTAAAGTCAATGGGACTGTTCACGTGAGTCAAGTTACGCACCTGCTTAAGTATCTGCAGGATCAGGGCCTTCATTTTCAGTATTTGGGGTTTTGCATGTATTGGTTTTGTAAAATTTAAGTAAGACCCCTGCCAGAAGGGGCATTTAAAAACAAAACAGCATTTATAATTCAGTTAATCCTAACTTTAGATTAAAAATTAAAAGTGGGGGGGAATGGGGCTCAGCAGATGGAGTCTGGGTGTGGGGGGATCAGTGGGGGGGGTCTGGGTGCAGGGAGAGTGGGGCTTGGTGGGATGGGAGTCTGGGTGCAGCTGGTTGGGGCTCAGTGGGGTGGGGGCCCAGGTGCAGGGGCCTGGGGGTGGGGCTCATCAGGGTGGGGGTTTGAGTGCAGGGGGCTTAGCGGGGGGAGTCTGGGTGCAGGGATGAGGGTGCAGGGGGGGAAGGGCTTGACAGGGTCTTGATGCAGGGGGGTTGGGGCTCAGCAGGGAGGGCTGGGTGCGGGGGGGGGTCTGTGTATGGGGGCATCTGGATGCATGGGGGTTGGATGGACAGGGAAGCAGCTCCCCATATAGTGACCCCTCCTCCCGCGGCTGAAGAGCAGTGGGGGCAGGAAGCGGGAAGGGGGGTGTGTGGAGCCAGGGAAGATTTCTGGGGGTGGGTCTTACCCTGCCCTTGCCAATCTGTGCAGGGGAAGTGCTCTCTTCTCCACCTGCAGCCCAGCTGGGACTAGCAGCTGAGCCCACTGCAGAGTAGGAGCCACCAGGTGGGGCTGGGGAGGGCTGGTGCAGGGGGTAAGGCTCAGCAGGTGGGGTGTCGGGTGTGGGATTCTGGCTGGGCATGGGGGGTCTGACCCAGCACTGGCGCAGGGCATTTCCACACCCCCAACCCTCGCAGCAATCTACCTCTTCCCCTGCTGCTCCAGGCACCTGAAAACACACGACCCTGCTGTTGGGGAGGGGCACATGACCACTCTTGCAGCTTCCCTTTGCTTCCCTGTTAGAAAGTCATGTGTCTGCAGGGTAGCAAAGAAATCTGTGAATTCTGCACACGCACAGTGGGGCAGAATTCCCCCAGGAGTAAGCCACTGGCCTCCCACTATCTAAGTCCCCCCAGCTAGAAACTTGAGGGTGCAGGGAGTTTTCTGGTTTCCACCACAGACTGTATCTGACTACAGATGAAATTACACACACACAGTAAACACATACCCCACTGACCCACCCTTGGAACCAAGCTAGAGGCCAAAACGTGTTATTTTGAGAGCTGGCATGGTCTCTCTGCACTCGCTTTTCATTGCTGACAGACCACATTCAATGAGAGCACAACCCTGGAGCTAACTCACAGACCCCCTTGACAGACAGGAGGAGAGAATGCGTGGCCATTCCATTCCTGGCTAAGGGAGACAGGGAAGTGGACCTAGTGGCATTAGTCTTTCATGCAAATTCAAAGGTAAATAACACACTTTGAGTGCTGCCCTTCCCTACGTTGATAAGAGGAGGGAGAGGTTCACTCTTTTCACTCAGCTTGGCAAGTAACAGGATTTGGTAGTTTTGTTACCTGATTCTCATGGCCCAGCCTTTGGGTCCGTGACACTGTATGACCCCCAAACCCCCCATCACCATAGCATTTGACCTCTTGGGACTGGTAATTTAAAAAACAACAGGCTTTTTCAGAATTTTAAATGTATTCTCAGTGGAAAGGTTCTGTTCAGGGCTGTCCTTAGGATTTATGGTGCCCTAGGCGGGATTATTAAACTGGTGCCCCTGTGCCTGACTTGGTCTTAGCAACACAAACATAAGCCTGCTGCCGCTCTGGGGTTCCAGCTGCTGGCCCCTTGCCAGTCGGGGTCCCAGCTGCCAGCCTCGCTCAGCCCGCCACCGGCCCTGCTCAGCCCGCTGCCGGCTGAGTGAATGGAACCCCAGGCCAGCAGTGGGTTGAGTGGCTCAGCCAGGGTCTCAGCCGCCGGCCTGCTCAGCCTGCTCAGCCTGCTGCCAGCCTGGGGTTCCTTGGGGGTCCCCAGGCCAGCAGCGGGCGCTGAGTGGGGCCGGCGGCCGGGACCCCGGCTGGCAATGGGGCAGCAGCCGGAACCCCAGAGCGGCGGTGGGCTGAGCCGCTCAGCCCGCCACCACGTGCCATCAAAAATCAGCTTGCGTGCCACCTTTGGCACGTGTGCCGTAGGTTGCCGACCCCTGCTCTATACACTAGTAAGGAGATGAGCATATTACAGTTGTTGGAGGGCTCTATTCAGCAGTAACAGGGCTATAGGAAAGTCAGTCAACATTTTTTGTTTCTCTGATGAAAACTGGCCCACTCCCTGCCCCATACCAAACTTGTCACAAATAATTGTCAACAACTTAATTTTCTGTTTTTGGCAAAGATATTGATTTTTAAAAAAAAAAATATTGAAATTGAATTCAGGATTGTTAGCAAGCATTTTTGGCAAACAAAGTTGTTAAATGGCAACACAGTCCTGCTTTCATGGTTCGCTCACCCCAGCCTGCTGGTTCAACAGCTGCAGGAGAAAAGGAGATAGGTGGAAAACCGCAGGACCCCGAAATCCACCTCTTGGGGTGCAGAGTGGCAACAGCAGCAGCAAACCCTCAGGTCTGATCACACACCACTGGGCACCACCGCCAGCCCCACGGACCATGGTGAAGTTAGCACAGCATCTGATCTCAGGGCCGGGGCACCCACGGAGCCACAGCAACTCATCCTGCCCTGTGCAGCTCCCCCCGGATGAGATGGATCGCTGCCAGCCCGGGGGAGAGACGCGCTCCCCAGCTAGGGTGACCAGATGTCCTGATTTTATGGCCAGTCCCAATATTTGGGGCTTTGTCTTATATAGGCACCAATTACCCCCACCTAGGGTGACCAGACAGCAAGTGTGAAAAATCAGGACAGGGGGTGGAGGGGTAATAGGACCCTATATAAGAAAAAGACCCCAAAATTGGGACTGTTCCTATAAAAGTGGGACATCTGCTCACCCTACCCCAACCCCCTGTCCTGATTTTTCGCACATGCTATCTGGCTATCCCCAGCCCAGCCATGTGTGACCATTCCAATCCTGGCTGGCTGCCGAGGAAGTGAGTTACTTTCACTTTCATTCCTCAGCAGGCAGCCAGTCAGCCTCCCCCCCCCCAGCACCTCACCCAACCCAGCCCTGCCGGAGGGGAGGGGAGAGAGGGGTGCTCCTTGGGCGGGGAGAAAGGGGGGGGTGCTGCGTGGGGTGGGGGGGGGAGAAGAATGGACGTTATGGGGGACAACAAAGGATACTGGTGCCAGAGCCGCCGAGCCTGCCTCACCTCATGCCGGGGGAAAGAGTCACACTCACAGGTGAGTTCCTTCCCCCACCCCTACTCCCTCCCCTTCCCTTCCCAGAGACCCCAGCAGCCAATCCCCTCCCTCAGACTGTGCTGCATTCGGCTCTCTATAGGACCCAGCAGCACTGCTCTTACATGCTCCACTGCTTCCCGTCTGTCCGGGCTCCCGGCAGAGCGGTGCCCCCAGGTAGAGTGGTGCCCTAGGCGGCTGCCTGTTCTGCCTATGGCTAAGGATGGCCCTGGTTCTGTTAATATTTGCTGTTTTACAGAAACCCCTAAGAACAGCCTGAACCAGCCCAATTTCCTGGCAGTGCCCTCCTCACACTAGGCTATGTTTATCCTACCATCTCCCTAAAGTTAGTCAGCAGGGTTGCACCGGAGATTAATTTAGCCCATTCAGTGCACACACCATGCTGCCAATCCCAGCACTGCCAAAACACGCTCATTCTGCCCCTTCCATGCGACCACAGCCCTCCGAACAAACGGGGGATTGTTTTCACACTGCTGAGAGCAGACTCCCAGCTCCTACTGTGCAACCACAAATCCCTTACACTGTGATCTCTGTGCAGCAATATAGCTCCATTTGGGAGAGTCGGGAATGTCACATGCCATAGCTGTGCCAGTCTGGGCCATGTTGCCAGCATGACAGAATTGTTAGGGGCTGCAAATTACAGAGCAGCAAAAATGCAGTTAGTGACAGCGTGTGTTCCCACCTCCTAGGGCTACAGTAGCCACAGCTGCCAAAAGAAATGCACATTAACCCAGCCCAGCTGCACACAGCCACCAGAAACAGCAGGAAGTGACTGGCCGGCATGTCTAGTGATCATTTGCTCCTGCTTTTCTCCCTGCTCCCCAATTCCCCCATGAGTCCTCATCTGCCATCTCAGGGTTGGCCCAAAAGGTCAGTTTCTTCGCTAGACTTGGTCCCTGGACCTGCCAGTACCAATGGCTGGAGCTACAGCTGGGGATACCCAAACAAGCTGTGGGCCCTAAACATACCCACCTAGGGGTAGCTGGTCCTGGGAAGCTTTCCCTTGCTGTGGATAGCCCATGCTACCAGAGCCAGAATAAATGCTGTGGTGGGTCCTGGAAGGGAAAGGTCATGGAAGTAGCCTTCTTCCCATCTCCTACTACTAGAATAAAGCCCTGTCTACTCTGGCATGCAAGGAAAGCAGGTTAGCACCACCTTAACAAAGCCAGCTGGTGCGGGGAAGTTGATCACCCAGATCCCTGGCTGGCATACAGGGGCTCACTGTAACCAGGCCAGTTAAGGCTCATTGCATAAAGATTGAGTGAACTAGGGCAGCAGAGACTCCCACCAAGAAAGATCTGGCCCCTGGGAAAGCTCCCAGTCTTAAGCTGCAGGCAATACAGGGGCCTTTAGCTGCACATTCACAGATGGCAGCATGTGCTGCCAAGTGTCCCCGTAAATACCAAACCCTAATCTGACCTCAGCTCCTACCCCCACAGACATCACTCCATCTGCCTCTGCCTTCAATAAAGTGTCACATACACACACACGCGCACACACAAAGTGCCTCTGGGCACAGGACTCAATGGACCTTTCACTAAGTAGAACAGAGCCTCTCAGATGCTGGTTTGTGAGGCAGAGAACAGGTCTGGTACTGTAGGATTCCTCCAACACTGGGAACTATCTCAGCCTTGACAAAGCAGCCCTGGGCCATTTCTGCTCCTTCCTTCCCAGGGTGCTGGGAACCTGAACCAGAGCCATGAAGGGGCTGAACACCACACTGCTCTCTCTCAGCTTCCGGACACAAGACAAGACAGCAAGAAAGAAGTCAGACATAGAAGTCTGCCTCACTGTTTCCCTAAGAGAAATGCACCCTCAACTCACCCCCTTCCTCCCAAAGAGGAGGGGCTCCAGACCCCTGCTCTCCGACCTACCCTTCCCCAAAGAAATCCCCCCCACACCGACAATTCATACCCTAACCCTAGCCTTCCCTGCCTATGCAGGTTGCTCTGGCCCTGCTCCAGCTCCCAAAAAGCAGCTCACCTCCTTTCAGCTCCTTCTGTACAGCCCTTGACAAGACAGCTCTGTGGTAAGTTCTTATCTGGTGGAAGCGGGTGTTTGTCTCTCCACACACAAATAATCTCTACCCTCATGATAGGCCAGACCCAAACCCATTAATCCCTAAACACAAACACCAGAAATAAACCAGAGGCACACAGGAATCCTGGAGAAGTAGCTCCAGTACCAGTTCTTGTGCATCAAAAAAGGAATGAGTAGCTCCAGAACCAAAAAGTGTGGCTGGTATCTCCTGGGCTCAGGAAACTCCCAAATGAGCTAATATACTGCTCCAAATTCATGCTTTTACTGGAGGGTGATTGGATTTGTGGGAACACAGTTGTTCTCCCCCACCCCGCTGCCCCAGACCTGAGGAAGAGCTCTGTAACAAGCTTGAAAGCTTGTCTCGCTTACAGAAGTCAGCCCAATAAAAGATATTACTTCACCCACCTTGTCAAGCCATTGGAAGGCAGAGCTGCCTCCCCTGGGGTTTGCCTTCCATGTGGCAGAGAGTAGGATGGAGTTGTGGAGAAACGAGTGCAAGAGACTTACTTGTAGGTTTTGGTTTTATCCAACCAGATGCCAGAGAGTAGAGCTCCAGCCATGCCAGACACTACAATGGTGAGTCCAATTCTTCCAGCATTCACCTCCTCCCCCTATGGGAAGACACACATCAACACAGGAACTAGTTAGTGGCCAAAAGCAAGTGGGGATGGCTAAAAGGGCCTCAGAGGAGGAGATACTAAAGGCCTTTCAAAGCTTGCTGTCCAGTACTGGTCTTTGGGTCAGCTTGTTCAGGATTTACTAGGAATGTAGGGTAACCCCAAGGAAAAGATGCTCCTAGTCCTGGCCTTTCCCCACAGGAGATGCTTTAGGGAATGTTACAGAAGCCCTAGCTATGGAGCACTCCCCTCTCCTCCATGGGAAGGCAATATAGTGAAAGGTGCAGGAGCAATGACTGTCAGGAGGCTCCCAGCTGGTAGTGCTGTAGGGCAGTGGTTCTCAATCGGGGTCCATGGCTTTCTGGGGGTCAATGAGCCAATTTCGGGGGCTCTGCGAGCCCGAGCGCCCCAAAGGGCAAAGCCCAGAACCCATGGGCGCAGTATGGGAGGGTACGAGGGGCTTTGCCCCCCCAAACTACAGTGCCGTAACCAGACTGGGGCAGCCTGGGAGTGGCTCCACACTCCCACTTTCTACTCTCCCCCCTGCCCCCTGGCCAGGTCGGAGGCGGGAAGCTGGAGCCGGGCAGTGCATGGTTGGTGCCATGAAGCGGTGGGCCCTGGTGCTCCCCCATCTCCTGCTGCTGCTAGTGCCTGGGGCTGCGGCTGCTCCTCAGCTCTCAGCCCCCTTTGATTGCTCCTGCAGCCGGTAAGAGCGGCCCTGTCGGGGGGACCCAGCTCCGGGGCCAACACAGCCTTCAGGGAGCAGCAACCACACAGCCCCTAGCTACCCCTCTACCTGCACCCTCAGCTACACCCCTCTCTGCACACAGCTCCTAGCTATCCCCTCCCCACACCCTGAGCAGTTTTCAAACTTTTTGAGCTGAGACCCACCCACTTTGAGTTATAATTTTTGGGTGCACCCCCCTGCAATCCTGGGTGGCCTGTTGAGGTGAGTCAGGGGTTGGAGTTGGTGCTCCCTTCCCCTGGCCCCACTGTGCAGAGCTGGCCCAAGTCCCGCTGGGTCCTGCCCCTGCAACATAGAAGTCAAATTATGCCTATGCCTGAGGCCTGCCCAGCAGCCGGAGTCCCGAGCCCTGGCACCCCTCAAGGCAGAAGCCCCAAGCTCCTCCCCCTCGGCCCAGTGGCTGAAGCTCAGACACCCCCCCACATTTCATGCCCTGAAGTTCCTATAGCATGTTGGAGGGGGTGCTCAGAAAGAAAAAGGTTGAGAACTGCTGCTGTGGGGAATGGGCACAAGCAGTGACTGAATGAGTTAACAGAAGAAAGCACAACTGATTATGGTATAGGGCATAGCCCTTGGTGGAGCTCACCAGCCCAATTCTTTTCCAGCAGAAAATGCTGTAAGGAACAGGGATAGGAGTGCTGGCTGCTGCAGAGGAAGCGCACAGTAGCTCCAATACCAGACTCTCCCAGCAGGAGGTGCTGTTGCATCGTGTTCTATACAAACTTTCTTTTGACAGCAATGATGTAGGAGAGCACATTGCAGGTACTTACTGGATAGTGCTGGATCACCATGCGGTTCAGCAGAGTGGACAGGGCGTAGAAGCAACCAGTGTTCAAACCTGAGAGGTGGATAAAAACACAGCACATTCACAGCCTGCCATTCTCCTGCTGGGTGAAGAAAGGTTGGGGACTTAGCGAGGGCTCCACTGAGTGTGGATGTTCTAATCCAGAGACGCGGAGAAGACCCAGGCATCAGGCACTGAGAGTGTGGGCACAGTGTTTTACAACGGGGCTGGGGAGCCTGCAGAACAGCTGGCTGCCTTGGCCATGTCAGCTAGCAGAGGAGCTACATCTGGAGGGAAGGCAAGGGGCTGCTGGGCCGGCCAAGGTGAGCTATATCTCAGTTCAGTGGGTGGGCTGAACCCTGCCGTCTCAAAGTTGCTCCTTATCTGAGTGGAGGGAGGTTGCTCACATTTTTAGAGCTGATAGGGGGCTCAGTGGGTCCAGGCCCCAGCACTCCTCCCTCTAGTGCAATCACTCTTCTCTACCCACTGGGTGGCGCAGCTCACAAATGAGCTCTCCTGACCTCCACGTCCTGCCCTAGCATGACAGCCGCAGAATGACTGGCCTGGGCTATGTTGGGGTCAGTAAGCTGCTCACAGCCTGACTCATTCTTGACTGACCTCATTTACCACCGACTCCACCAGCCAAGAGAGAACTCTACTCACCCAGATTAGTGCTGGGTTGGCAGGGCCTCCCTTGAGGAGCTCAGATCCAATTAACATTGCAATACCAAGGCCAGTGACCTAGTGTGAGCTGGAAGAGATGTCCCAGCTGAAGGCTTCCTCACAATGGGAAGCTGGCTCACTCCCCCCAGCAATAGCCAGCAGGAAGTGGGCTCTTCCGGCCAAGAAGTCCTAGTAACTGAGCAGGAGCTAAGCAGCTTGCTGAGCAGTAACAGCACCTTCTCAAGTCACTATGGGCTCGTGTAGTTGGGAAAGTATGGTCACACACAAAGATCACTGAAGTCTTAAAGAGATGGTAATGCCAGTATAACCCTACCCCTGTGTGGACACTTTATTCCACTATAAGGGTCACTTTGCTTTAGCTTAAACCCCTTCCCAAGGAACACAAGCTACACCAAAAAAGCCACCCTTACACCAGAATAAAAGTGTCCACATAGGGGGTCATAGTAGTATTACTCTACTGATTTAAATTCTCACCATAGGAAAGATTTTTCAGCATAACTTAAGTGGACAAGACCCCTAATGGTCAATTCAATCCTCTTCTCAGAAAGTCATTCACATTTGCAGCTGGTTTCTCTTTAAGGCTTCAGTGATCACTGTGACGGTGGGTGGGGATCATAGGTTTCACCAGTCAGCCCACACATCCCTGTGCTCGGGATAAACAAAGTTTAAAGTCCCTGTGTTGAGACATCTGCAATCCTTAAAGCCCAGTAAAGTGCAAAATTCCCACATCCCCATCCTCTCTCTCTTTCTCTCAAAGCCTGAGTGAACAGCAGGAAGCACCCCAGGGTACAGTAGAAAGGAGCAGTATAGTAGCCCGAGCACAGGATGGGGAGACAGGCTAATCCCAGCTCTGACACTGACTCCGCCTCTGCAACCTGCAGCAAGTCACTTCCCCGCCCCGTGCTTCAGTTTTCCCCAACAGTAGAGTGGCAACACCCTCACCACACATATCAACGTTTATGAAGCTCTTTGACAGTGAAAAGCCTTGAGTGGTGCAGAGGCAGCAGCTGGAGGGGAGTTCACACCTCCCTCATGTCCAGCCTCTTCCAACACATTCAACTAGGCCATGATGATGAGTGTGATACAGGGATCTAGCTAGAGTAGAATATATCCAGCAGACAGACACACATGGCCCCAAGGGAGACTGAGCCAGATTGAATGTCACGAACTCCTGAGAGGCGCAGTAGCAAAGGAGGGGATCAGCATGTTATCAGTTCCTGACATGCTCTCTGAACAGGAAAAACCCATCCCATTCACTCCAAAAGCCACCTAGTACAATAGTGAGTTCCAGGTGGGTCAGTAACCTCCAGTAACCTCCAGAGAGATAAGATAGGAGGGACACCAGGGAAAACTCTTCAATGGGAGCCGGCAGCAGGAACACACCCCACAGTGTTGAACCTTGCTCTTCACAAGATTTGGCCCTGGCAGGAATGCGCAGAGGAACCTGGCGAGGCTGTTGGCCCACTTCACCCCCCCACTCTGGAACACAGAGTTTACGAAGGGACACTTCACTTCACTGGTAGCTTCAGGGATAGGAAGAAGGAGCATGAAAGGTCAGCACATGTCCTCTACCTACCGTTGTTTCAGCTCAAAGCTGCCTATCAAACAATACATGCAATTATACCAATCTAACCCCTGGGGTAGACAGCACTATCTTAACAGGAGGGCTTCACGTATCAACATAGCTACCTCCTCTCAGGGAGGTGGAGTACTCTCTGATCAGCGAAGGTAGCGTCTTCACTAAGCACTACATGCACTGCTGCAGCGCTGTAAGTGCAGACAAGCCCTCAGACACGCACAAAGCACGTCACTGCTTTGGGGCCGTCTCAGTCACTTTATCTTTGTTGTTAGGGAACTGAAAGTCAAGGATGAGTCAGGCAGAGCCAAGTGAGCAGAGGAGGGGGAAAAAAAAAAAAAAAAACACAAGCCGGGAGGAAGAGAAGTTGAAGTGTCGAAGCCACTAAACAGCCTTTTCAAATCCCCCAGTGACTCTAAAGGGAGGAATTATCCCAGGAAGATCGGATTCTAAAGAAACTCTTCACACTGAGAGGCTCTTCTCATCACTAGCACTGGGTCACTCTAATTAGTAACTAATCCCTTCCCCTTCTTCACACTTACACCCACACAGTTTGATGGGCACATCAAGGACAGACTTTCAGCCAGCGTCTGTATCTGATTTTCTCAGAGGGCAGCAGACACAGAACAATCCTGGGACTGTCTCCAGCTCCTCCCTATGAAGCTCAGGGGCAGCCAGATGGGAGAGGGGAAGAAAAGGTGCAGTACAGGACTGAGTGATCTGGGAAATGTAATGGCACGACAGGAGTAACCTGGGAGATCTGAGGGTCACTTTTAGAAAGATCTACTGCACTCCCCAGGGAGAAAGGACTAAATGACCTAATAGGCCTTTTGCAGCTCCAAAGCGAACATCACACTGTCCCCAGGCCTTGTTAATCACTCAGATGTTCCATTAGCCACTTGTGTTGGCAGAACAACCTGTGAGGGGGCTGGAGAACCCAGACTGCTCCAGACCCCAACCAGAAGCTTTCCCTATGTACTGTGTATCCCATTCTTACCTTCTCCTGAGGGGCTTCTCCAACAAGGAGATTTCTGTTGCCAGGCACTGAGAACAGAGCCAGCCTATGCCAAAAACCATTTTACACCTAGAACCAAGTGTTCTGTGTGTGAATGTGTCACAACTTCCTAGAGTTCCGTGCAGCTGGCTAGAATACATCCTACTGGAGTACAGAGGCTGCTGTTCAGGGCTTGGGTGGGTCACTTAAGGCACTGAGCACAGTCAATAAACCATAGCAAAGACATCCTCCCCTTCTTACTAGGGGAAGTGCTTCCTCAGATTACAAAATTACAGTGTCAAAAGCAGAACCTGCACCTCACTCCCCCACCATACCCATGCAAACAAATCAAGGGGCCCATTTCCGAGAGTGCTGCAGAGGGAGAAGTAAGCAGCTGACCCAGACTTAGCAGGACAGACACAAGCAGAGGGGACCTTAACAAACTCCCTCCCTCTGGCTTCTTGGGGGTGGGGGTTTCCTGGAGACCACAGGCTATGTTCATACCCACTCTAGTCCCTCCACAATCCCTCCCCCTTGCTGATTCCACAGGGACTGTTGGAGGCCACACACTTGCCATTGGCTGTGTAAGTTTAGCAGCTCTTTGCCCATATTATAAGTGAACAGGTTATTCCAGATAATGACTTGCTCCCAGAGCTGCCTGAGGGAGGGACTGTGAGCAAGGAAGATCTTTCTCCTGCTAGCAGCCCAGGCCAGATACTGGTCAGCACTGCCAAGGGAGGACCCATCCTGGCACACACAGTAGCAGGAAGATCTCCGCCTTCACCTGTCACTTAGCAGAGCTGAGACTGGACCTTACCATAAGCGACTATCAACAGGACGAAATTGGTATTGCGGAGCAGCCTGAGGATGGACTGCATGTAGGAATATTCCTCAGGTGGCTTCAACTGGATCAAGGCCTGGGCCCGGCTTGGGGGAAACGGGGGCTTCTCCTGGAACACTGGAAACAAACAGAATGGACCTGTCAGTTACAGGGCCTCAGGGAGTCTGGGCCCAGAGAGTGCGGGAGATGTTGTGGGGTGAGGCAGGGAAACCAAAGTTTATAAAAAACACAGTCCTCCCTGGTGCTCTAACCTTCCCGTGAGCTTCCTTAGGGACACAAAGGGAAGGAGTTTCTCTAAAATAAAGCAAAAACAATGAGGAATCCTTGAGGTGCCACAAGGACTCCTCATTGTTTTTGCTGATACAGACTACGGCTATCACTCTGAAATCTAAGATAATGGAAACTCCAGCACCACCAGCCCCTACCCTCAGAGGAAGCAGCTGAGAAAGTCACTGCCTGTCAGTTGAAATTTTATAGTTGTTCAGTGCTCAGCAGTAGGGTTGCCAACGGTCTAATTGCACAAACCCAAACACCCTTGCCCCACCTCAAGGCCCCGCCCCTACCCTGCCCCTTCTCCGAGGCCCTGTCCCCCACTCACTCCATTCCCCATCCCTCTGTCGCTTGCTCTCCCCCACCCTCACTCACTTTCACCCAGCTGGGGCAGGTGGTTGGAGTGCGGGAGGGGGTGAAGACTCTGGGAGGGAGTTTGGGTGCAGGAGGGGGCTCAGGGCTGGGATAGGGGTTTGGGGTATGGGAGGAGGTGCGGGCTCTGGGGTGAGGGGTTTGGGGTACAGGAGGGGGCTCATGGCTGGGGCAGGGGGTTGGGGTATGGGAGGAGTTTGGGGTGCAGGAGGGGGATCAGGACTAGGGCAGCAGGCTGGGGTGCGTGACAGGGTGCAGGATCCAGGAGGGAGTTTGGGTGTGGGAGGGGGCTCAGGGCTGGGGCAGGTGGTTGGGGTGTGAGAGGGGGTTTGGAGTGTGGGCTCCAGCCGGGCAGCACTTACCTTGGGCGACTCCCAGAAGTGACCAGCATGTCCAGCTCCTAGGCTCAGGGGCAGCCAGGCAGCTCTGCGCGCTGCCCCTGCTTGCAGTCACCGCCCCCGCAGACCGCGGGTCCCAGCCAATGAGAGCTGCAGAGTCGGCGCTCGGGGTGAAGGCAGCATGCAGAGACCCCCCTGGCATCCTCTGCGCCTAGGAGCCAGAGGGACGTGCCAGTCACTTCCAGGAGCCATGTGGAGCCAGGGCAGGTAGGGAGCCTGCCTTAGCCCCCGCTGCACCGCCGACTTGACTTTTAGCAGCCTGTTAAAATCTCCTGGATTGATTTCAGTAGCCACTGGGAGATCGATTCTGGGAGATTCCAAGCCAATCCAGGAGGCTTGGCAACCCTACTCAGCAGTGGTGCCAGCCACAGAGGGCTAACAGGCCTATTAACATCCCTGTGTACACAAGGCAATAAGCTGCCAACTTCAAAATATGCAGCTGGGGGTGACAGAGCGAGAGGGATGTTGGAAATGAATCTGTGCTGTGCCAGATTCCACTCCAGGCCTTCACTCCCTGGGCAGGCTTGGTGCCTTAGGGAATAGTGTTCTGCTCTGCTAGGTCAGAGACCTGGTTCTCATTCCAGGACCCAGGCTCGTCTGGCCAACCTCCCTAGAGGTGGCTATTTATATTAGGGGAGCGCCTAGGAACCCCAACCAAGGAACAGGGTCCCTCTGTGCTAGGTGCTGTATAGACATAGAAAAAAGATAACAGTCCCCGCCCCAGAGAGTTCACAATCTGCATGTCAAGCAGGGCACAACAGGTGGATGAAAGATGAATGGGATGGCGGGCGATGAGGTTACAATAAAACAGAACTCAACAGGTCTCAGATTAGTGCTCTGCTTTGCCAGGCTAGAGACCTGGCTTCCATTCACTCCCCTGGATGGCTTTGTGGCTGGAGAGGGGTCTCTCACCTCTAATCTAATGGTTTATCGGGTTTCATTACACCACTCTCTGTCCTTAATCCCTTCTCCCTCCCACCCATCACTGGCTTCTCCCCTGCCAGCGGGGCACAGTGTGTTCCTGTACCATGGCATTGCCCTCTGTTCTCCCCTGAGAGGGGAGCAGCTCCAGGGCATCTCCAGCTCTCCAGGGACTGATCCCAGCACCCTGCCTGCTGGTGCAATTTCTAGGCTGGCTCTGACAGGTTCTGCTCATTCCAGGGGTTTCAGACAGGCTGACAAAGGCTGCAGGGGATAACTTGATTCCATTTAGATTTTTGCACTGTGCTTATCACCTGAGCACCTTCCAGTAGCACATTAAGTAACATGACTAACATCTGTCACATGTTGTTTCTTCTCTTATCCTTTCCCCACGGGAAGAAGCATGTGCAACGGAGTGTTTTGTTTGAGTAGGACTTTAGGGCTTGTTTGTTGTTGTTTTATAAAATATACGTGTTGCTCTGTATATATATTAGAGAAGGCTGGTCGAAGAAGTATGCCTTGCACTTAGAATGGAAGGCGGGGGAGGTTTGTGATGGTCTGGTGGACTGCTAACAGTCTTCAAATATGTTAAGGGCTGTTATAAAGATGAGGGTGGCCAGTTGTTCTTCCTTACTCACTGAGGACGGCAGGACAACAAGCAAATCAGAAGCAAGAGAGATTTAGGTTAGATATTAGGAAAAAAAACTTTCTAACTATAAGGGTAGTTAAGTTCTGGAACAGGCTTCCAAGGGAGGTTGCGGAATGCCCCTCATTGGAGGTTTTTAAGAACAGGTTAGACAAACACCCATTAGGCATGGCCTAAGTATACTTAATCCTGTCTCAACATGGCAGAATGGATGAGATGACCTCTCAAGGTTCCTTCCAGCCCTACATTTCTATGATTCTATGGTCCTTAGTTCTTGGGGGAGTTCATTCCACAGACCAGCCCCCCAATAAAGTTCTGTCTCCTGCCCAGATGAGAAGACCTTTATTATAGAGAGTTACATTGTACCAGAGGAGCAGAGCTGTCAACCACAGTCTTCATCTCAGAACTTTATGTGATCTTTTTAGACATGCTAGACCCAGGCCATGCAGTGCCTCCAAGATAAGGACCAAGATCTTGAATTTGATCTGAAATTCCATGAGAGAGTAGAGGACAGGTTTGCTCATGTTGGCTTGTCCTGCTGAGGAGACATGCTGCAATGTTCTGTACTAGTTGGAGTTTCCTAGGTGCTGAAGACTTCATTCCCAGGTATATCGCATTGCTGTATATCGCATTGCTGTAGTCCACCTGAGAAGTAAACGTGTGAATAACTGAGGCCAGGTCATCATCTACCAGGATGGGACAGAGTCTCCTCGCCAACTGAGAGATTAGAAAGCATTACTTGCAGATGCTATGTGAGAGCTAAGTGTTTCAGCGAGGAATCTAAAAACATTCCTAAACTTTTGAACAAACTGACCAATTGTGGGTGTGTGCGTTCAAAGGAGACTGTGTAGGAGCTGGATTTTATAATGTACTATGAGAATTAATGTATGATTTGATTTCATCCTGTCAGCCACCCTTTTTGAATAGCAGAAAGGAATGACAGACCAGAACAATCCTTATGACTGATTATGGTCACCCTTTTGTTTTAGGATAAATTATAATGTCTACTATGGTTTCCTATATGTATTACAATATAGGCACTCTAGTTAAATATACATTTCTTTGTTTTAAGGTTTTAGTAAGTAAGAGACGGGATTCTCTATTGTGTCTATGTTAAGTAGATTAGAGGAACATTGAAGGCCTGGGTCTCAATGTAAATTGTCTTGGTTATTGATCGTAAAACTTAGCAAGGTTTAATTTGCAATGCCTTTTTGCTCGATATAAAATACTACTGTTTGTATTCTCGATCTGTTTGTGTGAATGAGGACTGTATGCATCAGGAAAGGTAAGGTGTGAAGGCCATTGTTATAGCCAGAGTCAAGGAAGAAGGAGTGAAGAGACTTAAAGGACATCAAAGAATCATCAACGAGCATCCATAATGAAGGGCAGATTGACGGCCCTGAGGTAAAGGCTGGCACCCCTAAGGACAATTGATTAAATCGGAACGGAAGTGTATTGGAATGTTTACACCAATTAAGAAGTAACCGGTCACAAACTGACACAGCAAAATCCATAGGCTTCAACAGAGAAAAAAACCTATAAGAACAGGGTGCTTGGCCATGGGACTTTGGGTTCATCTTACCACACTCCAGGAGCATCGGATCACGACCGATAGAGCCCTGCTCCCCTCTGCAACCAATCTGGCTGGCCACTAGATTGATCCAGACTCTGGACTGGTAACTATAAACATCACTGCAGGAGCGTGTGTGTGTGAGTGACTGAAAGCATATGCTAACTGTGGTATTCTCAATAAATGCTGTGTATTTACCTTCCTCTATAAAGATCCCATGTGCTTTGTATGAGCATAACAACTGCACCATGGCTGCAAACTCTTCAAAGTGCTTTGCTCTGCCCACTGGCATCACCTCTGCCCTTCTCAGGGTCAGCTTTATCCAGCTGTTTTCCATCCATGGGCTGATCTTGTCCAAACACTGGGACATTTTGGTGCTAGTGGTGTGATCACATGTGGTGAAGGACAGGTAGAGCTGTGGATCTTCTGCATACAGCTGGTACTTGAGTCCATGTCGTCTGGCTATTTCTCCCAGTGATTGTATGTAGATGTTAAAAAGGACCGGAGAGAGAATTAATCCTTGTGGGGCTCCAATTATGAGGCGGTCTAGTGGTGGAGGTGCAGTTTCCCAACACTGCTTGTTGGATGCATCCTTCCAGGAAGGATTCAAACCATTTTAAACACACTACTTGGACTCCTGCCACCTCTCTCAGATGATACAGCAATATCTCATGGTCAACAGAGTCGAATGCTGCAGGGATTCAAGAGGATGAGAATGGAGGTCTGCCCTCTATCCACTGATAGCAGATTATCCATCATTGTCACTAAAGGGGTTTCAGTTTCATGTCCTTGCCTGAATCCAAATTGTGCTAGGTCTAGAAAGTTAGCTTCAATTAGATGAGCTTGTAGTTGGCCTAGAGCTAGTTCCTCTATGAGTGAGGAGTGGGAGGTTTGTTGGCTAGAACCCATGTATCCAGGCTGGGTTTCTGCAATGCTGGTTGAACTATTGCATGTTTGAAAGAGGAAGGGAAGATTCCATTTCTGAATGATGCATTGACTATTTTGGTAATGGGTGGACCCTGTTGTTCATGATTCTCTTTCACTAACCAGGATGGGCATGGGTCAGATTCCAAAGTCTTGGGTCGAGATTCTTTTAGGGTATCCAGAACTTCTTGATGTGTTAATGTACTGAACTTTGGGAATGGAGATTGGCTGGTGGGTGACGAGTACAGAAGGAACAGATCCATGCTATTTAAGAAGACTTCCAGAATGCGCATCAGTCTCACTCCTCTTCAGGGGATGGGAAGCTATGGGCTTTAACATTAACAGAAGAAGTAACCCTGTATGTGAACAGAAGCAGGTGCTATGCTGGGGCACTGCCCCAAATCGCCCAAGTGGGCTGCCCCATTCCCTCCCTGATACAGAGACCCATAAACACAATCTGGTCCTCTCGGCATCATCCCTCCCACACATTTACATTCACCTCCTTACCAATGATGACGAGGATGAAGAGCACCGTTGCCACGGCTGCAGTGATGAAGAACATGATGCTGATGTGGTAGGCCAGCTGTTCTGTGTCCTCCAAGTTGGGAACCAGAACGGGAGGGAGAACAAAGCCCACTGCAATTCCAAGCTGAGCAGAGAGATCAGGAGAGAGAGAGAATTAGATGGAGAGTGAGGGTGGGGATCTCCTCCCCGATCCCCAGGCTAGGACCACCATCAAGGGACTCAACTCCAAGATGTGACCTGCGTTTGCATGGTCAGAGGCTGGCCAGGGCCAGTCCAAGTTTGTCTTCAAACCAAAAATCCCCTACTCAGTCATCCAACAATCAAAATAAAATAGAAACTAACTACTATTTGAGCAGAATCCACAACAAATAACAAGTGTGAAAGTGTACCCTACTGGCTCCACAGCTGTAGCAGTGACACTAACCAACCCCAGCTGCCTTGCTAACTCTGTCAACTTCTCCACTGGCTCACATCAGTCTAAGAAGTTTAAGTCCAAAGGAAAGTGAGCAACAAAAGCCACACAAAGGGTTTGAAATCCTTAAGACCAGTAACATCCTAAATACAAAAATGTATTTGCTGAGGCTCAGCACCTGTTTCCATTCTGAGATGTCCTACTTTGAAAGGCTTTGAGTAGAGGCATCTGCTTCTTTGGCCTGGCTACACTCAGCATCCAACAAGCACAGCACCTGTGACCATGGAGCGGGGGGAGGGATAGCTCAGTGGTTTGAGCATTGGCCTGCTAAACCCAGGGTTGGGAGTTCAATCCTTGAGGGGGCCACTTAGGGAACTGGGGCAAAATCAGTACTTGGTCCTGCTAGTGAAGGCAGGGGACTGGACTCAATGACCTTTCGAGGTCCCTTCCAGTTCTATGAGATAGGTATATCTCCATATATTTTTTTTTTTTATTGGTGGCATTGACATCACCATGAAAATTGTATGCAGCCCCATGGCATACACTGGCTCATAAGTTGCCAATTTGCCAGTCTCAGAGGGAGAGGGTGGCATTTCCTTTTTCACCTTGTGACAATTTGGGGAAACTGACAATGCACAATTTACAAATTCTGTTTCAGCTAATGAATTCTCTGTATGTTTAAACCCTTCAGGTTACCTGTACTGTGTTCTTGCTTCATACTCGATGTGCAAAGGAGACAGGAGTGGCACCTGCACGACTGGATGAGTTGAGTATTAAGAATCTGACATCTGACCAGGTCTATATAGGCAATACAATAAATACGCTAAATGTGGCCACATCAAAAAAATTGATTCTGCCCAGCCAGGCTGGTAACTAGGGTGACCAGATGTCCCGAATTTACAGGGACAGTCCCGATTTTTGGGTCTTTTTCTTATATAGGCTCCTATTACCCTCCACCCCCGTCCCAATTTTTCACACTTGCTGTCTGGTCACCCTACTGGTAACTAAGCAACAGATCACCTGGTAGGAGACTGATCACCGGGGGGTTGGGGATGGGCAGGGACACAGACTGGGCACCCCGCCTAGGGTAGGTGGAGGGTCCAGGACTCCCCATAGCGGCTTGAGCTCCCTGGGCAGCTCTTAGCACTGTCCAGCTCCAGCTTCTGGCCTGGCCGGGGGTGGGGTCTCTGGGGGAAGAGGAGGAGCAGGGGATCCAGTGCTCCTGCATGTGTCTCAGTTTTGCTTTTTGAAAAGATGGTAACTCTAGGTGAGATCCCATTTCTGTGAATGGGTAACAGACAGGCTGTGTCCAGGAAGTGTGCCAGAGAGGCCAAGGAAAGACACAGTGCTGGAGCCTACTTAGACCAAGGGAGGCTTAAAAGCGCACGGGCCCAGTGTGTTGGGATCCAAATACAGCAGCCTGGTAGGTCCAGAAAGGGGAGCTTGACTAGGGCTATGGACACATCCCATAGCGACCCCTTCTGGAAAGGGCTGAGATGCTCTTACCCTTACAGCAGATCAGGCTTACAGCAGTAGACCAAGTACTCACAAGTATCTGGGACTAATAGTGACACCAGCCTAAAATGCCCTCCTCAAAGAACAGAGAGAAATCTGCTGTTTTGATCCAAATGCCTGAGCCCTTGTCTAATAAAGGGGGAGTCAAAATGCACTCAACATGTTTGTGGCTGCCTACAAAAGCTGCTCTTTTGTCCACATTTCATTGCGTGCAGCTATGTTGCAACCAAGGCTCAGCTCCCAACAAGAATATTTACCCACTCCTCCAGCTTTGTGTACCAGTGCTCTTCACCCCTTCATCTCCCCCACATCATCATAAAAGAGTGCCTGGGGACAGCCCAACTCTTGCCAGTTCCCAGAGAGAGCTTATTTACACACACTCCCCTGTATGGGGCAGAAGTGGTTACTCACTTCAGTGTTGCACTAAGTTCCTCCATTATCTCGTTTTCAAGCTAAAAAATTGTCCGGGCAGTGACAGGCTCGACCAAGCACACACAAGGCTTTCTAGGAGCTGCAGAAAGAGAGCTGCAAAGCAGCACCTTAAGCAATTCTCTCACTTGCCTGACACATTTCCAAATCTCTTCTGAAGCCTGAAGTATTTGAATGTGACTTAGCAGCATCAAATTAACCAGAATGGTAGAAGCAATGAAAATTGTGCCTCCTTCTTCCTACCCAACCCCAGTTATTCATGCTTCACCATCACCAACAGAGCATCCACAAACCCATCCTCACAGTGGGAGAGGAAGTAGAAGCTATGAAAAATATGGAAACGAGGGGGCATTCAAGCTAGGGCAACTTCCTTGTTATAGAGAGATGCATTTATCATCATCATCATCAGATAGTCCCTTGTCCCAGTGAAGGGAACCTTATGAAGTGTTGACCTTCCCCACCCCGATCACAGAAAGATAATCACAACAAACCTATTAGTTTTGCTGTAAAGTTTTAGCTTCCACTGTAACAACAGTGAGCATTTCTATAGACCTCAGTATCTTCACAGTCCTCCATTGAGAGGGTCAGCTAGTATCACTATCCCCATTTTACAGACAATGAAGGAGATGCACAGAGAGGGAAGGGAAAGGGACTTGTCCAAGATCACACAATTGTCCACTCTGTCTTCCAACAAATAAAACTCCCCAGTAATTCATGCTAATCAGACTTTGAAGGTTCACCATCAAGGTTTCACACTCCTTTAATGATTATCAGTGTGTTTGGGGATATGTTTTCTTTAAACAGTGTGTCGGCAGCATCAAGGTTTCCAAATAAACGTCTGATCTGCCAACACTTGCAGTTGGGAAAGGAAAGGTCTCTGCCCTTTATACACCAAACCATTTATCTGCACTCTCCCTCCTCCATGCAACAATGAAGAGACTTGGGTCAGGGAAGAATGCTCTGTCCTTCAGACATTATCTCACTTCAGTGCTGGAGCCAGAAACACATTTAACTTACAAATTATTAACCCTCACAATCTCTGACCAAGCTCCTCATATGTCAGGCACTGTCTTGGAATTTATCTTTATTATGGGGCGCTGCGGTAAACCAGGGTCGGGACTCCCAACAGGCATCACTTTGGGATTCACCTTTACTTCAGAGATGCCAACCAAGGTAAACCAGTGGGAATGACTAATAAAAAGGGATCAATCCTGCCATTCTGTTGCATTAGGCAGGATTAAAACAATACACACACAAGGGGCACAAATCTCATGTTTCAGAGCACAACTCAACCACTAAAAAGGAGTTAGGAGGAAACTTCTATGAGTAAGTTGTGTCCATCAGTGGGGTTTCTTGAACCTGAAGTATCTGGTATTACCACTGTCAGAGACAGGACACTGCACTAGATGGACCCCTGGTCCTATCTGGAGTGGCAATTCCTTCCTTCCCACTTTCAGTCAAAAACAAACCACTGTGACACTAAGCACTCTTGTATTCACACCCTACATGGTACTGTAATAATCATTGCACAAAATATGCTTTGTGAGGTATCATTTGAAAACTAATAACTCACTGATCATTAATATTCTTGTGTGATGTATGTATGCAATGGCTATTAAGAGTTATGAATATATGCTGGAATTATAACAAAAGTGTGTATTTACCTCAGTTCACATATAAGCAGTAAACAGATCCATCAACCAACAAGGTGTGGAGGCAAACCTCACACTAACAAGTGGGGGAGAGGACAGCATGGTGTTTACACCCAGCAGGAGAGAGAAGCTTGGTCTGGGTTTTACTTGTCAGAAGAATCCATTCAAAGGTTTACAGGTCTAGAAATACACGGTGCTGAACCTTAAGTGATAAGCAACTGAATTAACTGATTGGTTCAATAAAAGATATTACCTCACTCACCTTGTCTCTTGAAGCAAAGTCATTGAACTTTGAGAGATATAAGCAAAGATAGAAAGCCATTTTAGGCATCCATCACTAGACAGACACAAGGGGCTAGAGTTCTTGCAAACCAAAAAAGATGGGTTCTTTAACCAAGTGGTGGTTGAAGTCTCTGGAACTGAATACAGGTGAGAAGCCTGTTTAGGCAAAGATCTTTCATCTAAGACAAGGTAAGCCAGCACCTTTACTTTTGTGGAAGGTCATGACTGAGAGAAAGTCAGCCATGGCTGACTAAGAATGATGACTGGTGCAGAATTCCCCCAGGAGTAATTTATTAAGCCAAGAGGTCCATGGAATTCAATCCATCCCCAGAGAAGAATGGGAGATCTAGTGACCCCTCCAGCAGTTGCAGCGACAGGGCTGAGAGAAGAGGGGAAGGACAGGACCTGGTCTGGAAAGATGGGCAGCTCCCATGCTTGTGTTTTTAAGTGTGTCAGTTCCTGGTTCTCCTGGGAGCCATGTAGTCACCTGCTGATGTGTCTATGCTGGCAGTCCCTCCTGTCTGGCTGGAAATGTTTTAGCTTTAAAAAATGACACTTGTATCTTTTCACATGAGTTTATTTGAAACAAAGGAAAACCTGGAGCTTTTCGAAGCAGCCAGTAATTGGTGTTTAACCGCCAGCTGAGGCATGAGGACTTTTGGGTCTATGTGTGGGTCTACAGCCCACCACAGGGGCTGGGCTATAACTAAGTTTAGGAGCATTGCTTTCCCCCCTCTTCTGTGAATGGACAGAGCTGGGTTGGCTGTAGCTTATCTTCCCCTACCAGGAATACAAGTGAGAATAAAGTGGTGATGAGAGAATGAAGCAGCTTTA